GTCTTAAAAGAGATTTGAATTGGCGTACACTACAGTGTACGCCAGGACCGAAAGGGTTAATAGAGCGTCCGTACATTTGCCATTTACTATCAATCAAGCGTCCGGGTCCAATCGGGCGTCCATATATGGACGCCCGATAGATCTCCCATGTAAAGGAACTTAGGTGGACCCCATCTACCATCTGACGAAATATCTCGAGGACGCCCAATTATCAATTCCATTGTCGAAATTATATTCATTGGCGTATTGTTTAGTTCAGTCTTTTCAATTTAGGCGGCGCTCGGAAGTCACGCGTATATTTAGGCCGTATTTTTTCCAGATAGGTAATCGATTATCAGGCTTCCGTTCAATTGGCAACATTGCAGTACAGTTTTTCAACTTGGAACGATTGGTAATTCACCGAAACATTGTCGAAATGGTTTCATGCGAAGGCTGGCGCGCTTTTTCATGGATATGCGCTGCTCTGAGTGTCTTCAGATCTTGAAAAGTGTTTTGTCTTCAGTTTTAGTAAGTTTAGTTTCGCAATTGTTTGGTTGAAGTGAACATCGCACGAGTGACACAATGGCAGACTATGTAAGTATGATTCTTTCATGTTTCAATAGTATTACTTGATTACTGATGATATAATGTTGTTATGCATTGATTCCGATTGCACTTGAATGTTTGAATAAATGGAACACAGTGAACACAGAAGTCGTAACAAAATAATGTTTATTATGTGGCTGCTTTGAGTATAATGATTCTACAGATCTCGTCTTAGAATTTTATCTACTCGTCCAAGAAAAAAACAGAATTTTCCGGACTTGTTACGTATGTCAAACAAGATCGATGTCAAAAATAATAGGTTTGGTTGTTGCAGTATTTTTATTACGAGATTTTATTTATTTCCCTTGTTAGTTCGTTCGTTTGGGACAAATCTTGCAACTGAATTTCAACCCACTTCTAGTCCTCTTGTGATTATTGTCCGATCCAATTCGAAATTAGTTTAAGGGGGTCTTCGGGGTCGGAAATTTTGAATTTGTTATCAAAATTTGAAAATTGGAAATGGCGGACGAGAATTATTGTGATTATGGTCCGATTAGATTCAACATTGGTATGTAGAGGTATTCAAAGTCGGACATTAGGAACTTGTTAGCAAATTTCATAATTTCAAAATGGCGGCTCCAAGATGGCGGACGAGATTTGTGATTATGGACTGATTCAATTCAAAATTGGTGTGTTGGGGTTTTAGAGGTTGGAAATTATGAAATTATTGTCGAAATTCATGACTTCAAAATGGCGGCTCCAAGATGGCGAACTATATTTGTGATTATGGTCCGATTCGATTCAAAATTGGGTTGTGGAAGTATTCGAGGTCGGAGAAAATAAATTTGTTGTCAAATTTCATGAATTTGAAATGACGGCTTCAAGATGGCGGACGAGATTTGTGAATATGGTCCGATTCGATTCAAAATTGGTATATGGAGGCACTCGAGGTCGCAGATAATGAATTTGTTGTCAAATTCCATGAATTCAAAATGACTGCTACAAGATGGCGGACGAGATTTGTGAATATGGTCCGATTTGATTCAAAATTGGTATGTGGAGGTATTCGAGGTCGGAGATAATGAATTTGTTGTCAAATTCCATGACTTCAAGATGGCTGCTCCAAGATGGCGGACGAGATTTGTGATTATTGTCTGATTTGATTCAAAATTGGTAAGTGGGGGCATACGAGGTCGAAGATAATGAATTTGTTCTCAAATTTTATAAATTAAAAATGGCGGCTCCAAGATGGCGGACGAGATTTGTGAATATGGTCCGATTCGATTCAAAATTGGTATGTGGAGGTATTCGAGGTCGGAGATAATGAATTTGTTGTCAAATTTCATGAATTCAAGATGACGGCTCCAAGATGGCGGACGAGATTTGTGAATATGGTCCGATTCGATTCAAAATTGGTATGTGGAGGTATTCGAGGTCAGAGATAATGAATTTGTTGTCAAATTCCATGAATTCAGAATGACTGCTCCAAGATGGCGGAAGAGATTTGTGATTATTGTCTGATTCGATTCAAAATTGGTATGTGAGGGTATTCGAGGTCGGAGATGATGAATTTGTTGTCGAATTCCATGACTTCAAAATGGCTGCTACAAGATGGCGGACGAGATTTGTGAATATGGTCCGATTCGATTCAAAATTGGTATGTGGGGGTATTCGAGGTCGGAAATGATCAATTTGTTGTCGAATTCCATGACTTCGAAATGGCTGCTACAAGATGGCGGACGAGATTTGTGAATATGGTCCGATTCGATTCAAAATTGGTATGTGGAGGTATTCGAGGTCGGAGATAATGAATTTGTTGTCAAATTCCATGAATTCAAAATGACTGCTACAAGATGGCGGACGAGATTTGTGAATATGGTCCGATTCGATTCAAAATTGGTATGTGGAGGTATTCGAGGTCGGAGTTAATGAATTTGTTGTCAAATTCCATGAATTCAAAATGACTGCTACAAGATGGCGAACGAGATTTGTGAATATGGTCCGATTCGATTCAAAATTGGTATGTGGAGGTATTCGAGGTCGGAGATAATGAATTTGTTGTCAAATTCCATGAATTCAAAATGACTGCTACAAGATGGCGGACGAGATTTGTGAATATGGTCCGATTCGATTCAAAATTGGTATGTGGAGGTATTCGAGGTCGGAGTTAATGAATTTGTTGTCAAATTCCATGACTTCAAGATGGCTGCTCCAAGATGGCGGACGAGATTTGTGAATATGGTCCGATTCGATTCAAAATTGGTATATGGAGGTACTCGAGGTCGCAGATAATGAATTTGTTGTCAAATTCCATGAATTCAAAATGACTGCTACAAGATGGCAGACGAGATTTGTGAATAGGGTCCGATTTGATTCAAAATTGGTATGTGGAGGTATTCGAGGTCGGAGATAATGAATTTGTTGTCAAATTCCATGACTTCAAGATGGCTGCTCCAAGATGGCGGACGAGATTTGTGAATATGGTCCGATTCGATTCAAAATTGGTATGTGGAGGTATTCGAGGTCGGAGATAATGAATTTGTTCTCAAATTTTATAAATTGAAAATGGCGGCTCCAAGATGGCGGACGAGATTTGTGAATATGGTCCGATTCGATTCAAAATTGGTATGTGGAGGTATTCGAGGTCGGAGATAATGAATTTGTTGTCAAATTTCATGAATTCAAGATGGCGGCTTCAAGATGGCTGACGAGATTTGTCATTATTGTCTGATTCGATTCAAAATTGGTATGTGGAGGTATTCGAGGTCGGAGATAATGAATTTGTTGTCAAATTCCATGACTTCAAGATGGCTGCTCCAAGATGGCGGACGAGATTTGTGATTATTGTCTGATTTGATTCAAAATTGGTAAGTGGGGGCATACGAGGTCGAAGATAATGAATTTGTTCTCAAATTTTATAAATTAAAAATGGCGGCTCCAAGATGGCGGACGAGATTTGTGAATATGGTCCGATTCGATTCAAAATTGGTATGTGGAGGTATTCGAGGTCGGAGATAATGAATTTGTTCTCAAATTTTATAAATTAAAAATGGCGGCTCCAAGATGGCGGACGAGATTTGTTAATATGGTCCGATTCGATTCAAAATTGGTATGTGGAAGTATTCGAGGTCGGAGATAATGAATTTGTTGTCAAATTTCATGAATTCAAGATGGCGGCTTCAAGATGGCTGACGAGATTTGTCATTATTGTCTGATTCGATTCAAAATTGGTATGTGGAGGTATTCGAGGTCGGAGATGATGAATTTGTTGTCAAATTCCATGACTTCAAGATGGCTGCTCCAAGATGGCGGACGAGATTTGTGATTATTGTCTGATTTGATTCAAAATTGGTAAGTGGGGGCATACGAGGTCGAAGATAATGAATTTGTTCTCAAATTTTATAAATTAAAAATGGCGGCTCCAAGATGGCGGACGAGATTTGTGAATATGGTCCGATTCGATTCAAAATTGGTATATGGAGGTACTCGAGGTCGCAGATAATGAATTTGTTGTCAAATTCCATGAATTCAAAATGACTGCTACAAGATGGCGGACGAGATTTGTGAATATGGTCCGATTTGATTCAAAATTGGTATGTGGAGGTATTCGAGGTCGGAGATAATGAATTTGTTGTCAAATTCCATGACTTCAAGATGGCTGCTCCAAGATGGCGGACGAGATTTGTGATTATTGTCTGATTTGATTCAAAATTGGTAAGTGGGGGCATACGAGGTCGAAGATAATGAATTTGTTCTCAAATTTTATAAATTGAAAATGGCGGCTCCAAGATGGCGGACGAGATTTGTGAATATGGTCCGATTCGATTCAAAATTGGTATGTGGAGGTATTCGAGGTCGGAGATAATGAATTTGTTCTCAAATTTTATAAATTAGAAATGGCGGCTCCAAGATGGCAGACGAGATTTGTGAATATGGTCCGATTCGATTCAAAATTGGTATGTGGAGGTATTCGAGGTCGGAGATAATGAATTTGTTGTCAAATTTCATGAATTCAAGATGGCGGCTTCAAGATGGCTGACGAGATTTGTCATTATTGTCTGATTCGATTCAAAATTGGTATGTGGAGGTATTCGAGGTCGGAGATAATGAATTTGTTGTCAAATTTCATGAATTCAAGATGGCGGCTTCAAGATGGCTGACGAGATTTGTCATTATTGTCTGATTCGATTCAAAATTGGTATGTGGAGGTATTCGAGGTCGGAGATGATGAATTTGTTGTCAAATTCCATGACTTCAAGATGGCTGCTCCAAGATGGCGGACGAGATTTGTGATTATTGTCTGATTTGATTCAAAATTGGTAAGTGGGGGCATACGAGGTCGAAGATAATGAATTTGTTCTCAAATTTTATAAATCAAAAATGGCGGCTCCAAGATGGCGGACGAGATTTGTGAATATGGTCCGATTCGATTCAAAATTGGTATGTGGAGGTATTCGAGGTCAGAGATAATGAATTTGTTGTCAAATTCCATGAATTCAGAATGACTGCTCCAAGGTGGCGGACAAGATTTGTGATTATGGTCTGATTCGATTCAAAATTTGTATGTGGAGGTTTTTGGAGTCTAATTAAACATCATATGTTTTCAGTATGATTGCACGCAGGCGAACTCAGTGAAAAAACCGTGGAGGAGTTTTTGTAATATGCCGTTGTCACCGCCAGTACAGGAGCATCAAGTTTCCACGTCTGATGAGTCCACGCAGAACATAACTGTGAGTACTCTATGCCTGTGTGATTGTGAAAAAATTGATATCACCCAATACAGTTATCTCACTGTTGTTCAAATGTTTTTCATTCAACCAGGAAATTACAAATCGAGAAGAGAATGATGAAAATGAACATCACCAAGAAGATGAAGTGTCTAGCGAATCAGAAGACTGTGATGATGATATCAAAGATCCTGACTTTGAATACGATAAGGTACTTCACCTTAATTCTCCATCGTTTTCTATTCATACTAACACTCAAATTTCAGACTGACACTGAGAGCGAAAGCGAGATCGAGGGCGAAATCGAGGGCGAGAGTGAGTCTATTGTTGATGAACTTCCTGCTACTTCTGTCAACGTTAACAGCGCTAATGAGGTAGGTGATACTGTACTTCAAACCCCTGTATAACCCAAACCGTACCGAGGTAGGCTCTGTGAAACTTTTTCATTCAGAATGAGTCATCTACATTCTACCAGAAAACAAAAGACATTCGTTGACGGTTTCAAAAATAGTTTCAGTTATTCTGATATAGGTATTCAATCTCCAAATTTGTTGGACCCTTGCCGCAACTTCATTTGAATTCAGATCAGTGAGCAGATACGTTGATAGATTTGTATTTACATGGTGTTTCTGGTTTTATAATTTTTTTTTCCAGTGGTGATTTAACAACTCAAAAAAAGGTTACTAATGCTAAAATGCTTCAAGAAGATTATACTTTCAAAACAACAATGATTGTTCGAAGTTATCACCCTGTTGTTGATTGCAAAGTCTCGTTCGACGTTACTCACTTGAATACTTGAAAATCATTAAGTTTTTGCACAAGTTTCCAAAATGACATTTAAAAAAATCTCGAAACATTTTATCTCTCTCAATATCAAACTTTTGATAAGACGTTCCATAACGTTGATAACTTTCTTTTAACGTATTCAATAACCTCATAAAAATAAAACGACAAAAACGAAAACACATAGTTTCAAAAAATATGTTGAAAAGTATAAAATTCGAAGCCGAACCCTCTATACAGGGCATGTCACGACGAGCTTACACTATCTTTATATCGAGAATCAGTCGCAAAAAATTCATGAAAATGTGCATGCTTATATTTGAGATCACGCTCTCTTCATTCAAAATATATTCGACAATGCAGTGTTGCCGCTTCTACTAGAAAGTAGTAGCAACTTTGATATTTCAAATGGAACACCCTGTATATTATTACATTTTTAGATTCTCCTTGGAAAGCTGATTTCATTGATCTATCACACTTGGAGTCTAGTAGTGATAGCTACAGAGATACAGGGTGTGAAAAATCGAGATTTTCCAAGTTCAGGAATTTTTTGTGTCGAAACTATTCATAATTGGTCAAAACGGTTGACATGTCCCTATCCTTATTTTTCATTCTCTTTCAAATGAAATTTAATTGAAATAGATACAGGGTGGTCAGAAATCTCGATTTTGAACCACCCTGTATTTGTTTCAATTAATTTTTAATTGAAAGAGAATGAAAAATAAGGATAGGAACATGTAAACCGTTTTGACCAATTATGAATAGTTTCGACACAAAAAATTCCTGAACTTGGAAAATCTCGATTTTTCACACCCTGTATCTCTGTAATTATCATTGCTAGACCCCAAGTGTGATAGATCAATGAAATCAGCTTTCCAGGGAGAATCTAAAAATGTAATAATATACAGGGTGTTCCATTTGAAATATCAAAGTTGCTACTACTTTCTAGTAGAAGCGGCAACACTGCATTGCCGAAAATATTTTGAATAAAGAGAGCGTAATCTCAAATATAAGCATGCACATTTTCATGAATTTCTTGCGACTGATTCTCGATATAAAGATAGTGTAAGCTCGTCGTGACATGCCCTGTATGTATACTCGCCAATTCATATTCTAGAAACTCTCATTTGAATTTTGTGATGCACATATTGTCGACTATTCCATTATGAAAATTTAGATTGACACAAAAATTGAATTTCTTGAAAAGAAAACGTCAAAATATCACTTTGAACCCTTGTAGAATTGAAACGCCAAATAACAAGCAAAAATACGAAATCATCTCGTTCTACATCAAAACAGTATTATTCGGCTTCAACCGTATAACCATACCTACATAATAAACGTCATGTTTCGTATAGAAAGCCACGATTACATATTTGTGCTTGTTATTCGGTTCTGATTATTTCTTTTATTCGATTTGGCTGTTTCTGATTGGACAATTTGGTCCAACGATTTTTTGTTTTATGACACGTATCAACTTAGTATGATGTGAAGCTATTTCACATTTGTTGCGAATTTCTGGGCCACACAGTAGATTTTCCAGTGATAGTTATTTATTGAATTCAATTTGTAGCTTGTTTTTGAGGTATTTTTTTATTTTGTACAAGATATCAACAGAGGTTTTTTTAATTTCAGGAGAGTGGCCGTAGTGATGGCAATGAAGAAGATATACTCAATCAAAAAAAAGATGATGGTTCTTGTCAAACCGGTGTTTCGACCGAATTTAAAACAAACGGCGAAAAGAGAAAAGGAAATAAAACAAAAAACTTTTGTTTGTATTGTTGTGAACCTGTGCTTAATTTCTGTAGGCATCTTATTAGAAATCATAAATATGAAAGTCAAGTTTTGAAAATTTGTTCATATTCTAAAGGAAGTAAAGAGAGAAAAGAGCTTCTGACAGTTCTGCGAAAAGAAGGAAATTTCATAAATAAAAATCAACAGAAAAAACCTATGAAGAGACCTGTTACTAACGAGAATATCTTACCGTGCGATAACTGTAAAGGATTTTATTCTTCCAAAACTCTCTGGCGCCATAGACGAAAATGCACAGGTGCTATTGGTAAACAACATCAGGTACGAGGAGAGAATATATTATTGAGAAACCTCAAAACCGATACAAAATTGAAGGAAACGGTATTTCCGCGAATGATGTTAGATGGAGTATCTCGTGTTGCTAAAGAAGATGTACTCATTTGTGCATTTGGTTCTAAATATTTGAAGACTCATCGTGATAAGCATTGCGTCAATATTGTATCGCGGAAAATGAGAGAACTGGCAAAATTACTGATCGAAATGAAAAAACATAATCCAGCTATACAAAATTTCTTTGAAGCTCTAAATCCCGCTCACTTCGATATATTAGTTGAAGCAGCGAAATCTGTAGCTAAGTACAATTCTGAAACAGAATCTTTTGGATCCCCTTCTTTTGCTGTAAACATTCGACCTAGTATTATACAGTGCTGTGAAATCGCTATTCTGTATGCCCTGAAAAGAAAAAGTGTGTATGGAACTATAATAGCGGCAAATGCAGAGGCAGATCTGAAAACCTTGATTCGATTAGTAGAAAGTCAGTGGCATAGCGAAGTGTCATCCCAAGCCATGAATGATCTTAACATGAACAAATTTAACAAAATCACAATTGTACCTCTGGCCAGCGATTTGAAGTTATTAAAGGAGTATCTAATTTCACGAAGCCAAAGTTCCATCGAACAGCTGAGAACGGACTGTAATAACGTTCCTGCATTTATAACACTTTTGGAGACAATTTACTGCCGCATCATACTTTTGAATCGCAGAAGACCGGGAGAACTGCAGCGATTACCTTTACATCTATACGAAAAAGTTGAGACAAATTCTTCGAATTATGAGGAATTCTCTTCAGTTGTGACTCCTACAGAAAAAATTTTGTTAGAAAACTTCAGAAGAGTGGTCATAAAAGGAAAGAGAGGAAGAGGGGTGCCGATTCTTATTAGCCCCGATGTTCAAGAAAATATTAAGGTTTTACTTGATCTGAGGAAGAATTTCATAAACCCAAAAAATGTGTATTTTTTTGCTAATGTAGGTACACTTCAACCTATTTCTGGTTATAAAGTGCTCAGAAAGTACGCTTCCAATTGTGGCGCTAAGAATCCAAATGCGCTAACTGCCACTCGTCTTCGAAAACACCTAGCTACGTTGTGTCAAGTATTCAGTATGTCAGAAAATGATATTGAACAACTTGCTACATTCATGGGACACACTGTTGGAATACATCGAGGATCTTATAGAATGCCTGACGATGTTTACCAAACGGCAACCATTTCAAAATTATTATTATTAATGGAAAAAGGTGAAGCCAACAAATTCAAAGGAAAAACTCTGAATGAAATTGATTTGAATCTTGAAGAAAATTTGTTAGAAATAGACCAGGATAAAGCAAAAGATACCATTGGAAGTGACGGCGAAAGTGAAAATGAAGATTTGAATATGCCAACAGATCCTGAGGAAACAGCTCCTTCAGTTACCGAGAAACCATCAAATGAATCAAAACAGTGCAAAAGAGTGCTGGTTCCTTGGACTGATAAACAGCGAACTGTGGTTAAGGATTTTTTTAAAACAAATATTGTTGGAAAAATTCCTCCAAAAAAAAATGAATGTTTGGTTCTGAAAGAAATGCATCCTGACCTATTGAAGAACAAAGACTGGTTAAAAATCAAGGTCTTCGTTCAGAACGAGTACATGAAAAAGAAGAAGTAGATATACTACTTTCAACTCAATTCCTGTTTTTTTTTTTATTTTGGTTTCTATCAGTACAAAATACTCGTTTGAAATATTGTTTGCAGAGTAAGCTTTTTGTTTTTTTATTTGAAAAATAAAATATGTGTATCCCCCAGATGGACCCAACCACAAAGTGACTGAAAGAAGTGCAATGCATGTAACTTCGCCATAGAAGAGCCCAAAATAAAAACTATATGTTTACATGGGTAAAAAATCAACAGTTTCTGTGTTATTAGAATTCGTTGGATCGGCCTTGGTGCATCCATTGCGTGGCCAGCAATAAGTTCTTCCATAATGAAAAATCGAGGAGATTGAAGTCGGACATATTGCTGGCCATGAAGAAGGTGCACCATGACCGAACCATCATTTCTAATATCTCGGAAACTGTTGATCTTTTGACCCATGTATCTATGTTTTTTTCTGTAGTTATTATGAACTCTTTTATCGATTATCAATATTCATTGTACTTTTTTCAATGTCACACTGTATACTTCTAGAAAGGAATCTTCCACAGGTAATGAAAATGTTCTTAGTCTGAAGAGATCTTAGCCACATGCATAATGTCAACATACCATGGTGGATGAAAAATTGAATATAAAATTGAGTCATTCATAATACACATCACTGTTTGAAATAATATATCAAGTATGAGTTTGGGACAGCACGTGGTTCGACGTAGTTCAGTCTAAGGTCGTGACGCGATCGTAGAAACTACTCTGACTGAACAACTTCGAACCACGTGCTGTCCTAAACGTATCTTTGTACTAGAGGTTCAAATGGCTTTTTTCAATTGAAATTCTTATCTTCCTTGAAAATAAAAGTACTCACCATAAAAGTACTGATCTATTTATGTTGTCTCGTTTGATTCACCCTGTATCGTGTATTTTTTTGGAATATCGAGAATGGCTATTGACTCTCCAGAATAAGAAGAAAATTTGTATGGAGTGATTTTTTCTCGTGGAATTTTAACAAAATAAGGTTGTTCACAAATATGGTTAGGTCCTTCAGGTTGCTTTTTCTGAAACCGTAAAGATGTTCTCACATGATATTACTTTTGGTGTAGTAATGTAGTGATGTCATCGTCGCATGACGGGAGGTGATTGAAAAATAAAATGAGAATGTGAAATTGAGTTTTTTATTAATAAGAATACACGGTAAACAAAGGAATTCTGAAGTGTAACGATATTTGTGGAATGTCTCCAATATTTTGCTGTTTAATGTCATTTGATTCCATTTTAAAACTCTGCTCGACGACAGGCTTCCGCTCATCCTATGACAACACCGACCTGAAACAAAAGAAAACAATTAGTAGTAGTAGTGGCAATGCGGGTGGGGAGGCTCGAGCCAGGCAAGTTTGTTGATGCAAGGTACTCTAGCAGAGCTTCACCCCTGAAGTACGTCCAAGTGCTTCCCCACATTATGTGGACCGCAATGGCATCGCAACCTAATACTAATGAATACCCTTTTTCTTTCGCAAAATCCATGATGTTTTCTAGATCCGTAGTTGGGGGAAGGCCCGCTTGATCTTACGGGAGGTATACGCTACCCACTACTAACCTACGTGATACTCCACTTACCTTGTATTCCAAAAGAACTGCTGTGGCGCCCTGGTTCCCAGTTGTGGAAGATTCAGCAAACTCAGATCCTTGGACGCCAGTATGCAGTATGCAGGAGCTTTGTTGCGACGAATATTGGCAACATTGTAGGACGCTGAGTAATCGATTATATGTCTGAGAAATATACTAATCGGACGCTCTATTGTGAGGTTGTTGTCTGAGACCGTGTATACTGAAGGACGCTATATGAATGTTTGACGGATGGACGCCATACTATCAATTCGATGTAAACTGAGAATTTTGATCGGAATAAAAATGTCGTCACAGCCTACTGGAATGTGTCCTACGTCACTCTTCACGAAATATACTCGGTAGATCTCACTATTTTTGGTGGACGCTCTATTAGCGCATTCGTGTATGGAAGCGCTATTGATAGCGGGATGTATATATATATATATATATATATATATATATATAATAGAGAAAAATACTCTTTTTGTTTGAATTTCGAATAGATAGTCAGGTAGATATATATAGGCTCATAAATAGATTCATATTTTAACTAAGTACTATACCTTCATGCAGTATATTCATACAAAGTTTCTCTTGTTTCATGTACTGTACTTGTTTGATGCGAGGCAACACAACAAACAACAACCCTCACTGGCAATACGGAGGACTACCACTGGTTCACTGTTCCATGTTTCACATTTACGGGGACGGTTCAGGAAAGGAAACTACCAACGAAAAGCTGGGAACTGAGTACCGGCTGCTTTATATTAGCAGATATAAAGGATTCGTAAGAGATGCCATTTGGTTTGCTGTTGATCTACATGGGAGGATACACCTGAGGATACAAGTTCCCATGATATATAGAACGAATATTGCAGACATGGGTGCGGTTAGAGAATCCTCGTTGAGACATTCTGTTGCACCATAGAACTGAGGCTGAATATGGACCTCACTGAAGAAATACTCAATGGACGTGAGATTGCCATATATAGAGTGCAAAATTCGACGAAAAATTATATTCTGGACCAAGCAGTGCATTATTCAGCTGGATATCACAAGGCTATCCAGGTATGATTCAGGAATTCTCTATGAAACCACTCCTTAACCAAGACTTCTAACCACCATCCCTGTGGTCGGTGGTGACCAGGCCGTGAGCGTATCCTGTATACTAGTGTATACTCTACCCAGCAGACTACACGACGACACCTGACGACACCGTGAGAGCAAGCCCTATAGTTGCTCGTCATATTGATGGAAAACCCAGGTTGATAGTGAACAGGACCGTATCCGGAATAATGAATTATTAGTGCCAGTGACAAAGTTTTTGCCAAATGTTGTGTTGGACTCAGTCATAGTTGGACATTAGAACTTTAATTTCTATGAGTTCGATGTTTTTTGAATAATTTTCTTCATTATATTTTAGATTGATCAGTGGTATTCTAGTAAATTTGATTTTAATTTGTTATCAATTTTTTTCAATGATAAGTTTTTTTCAGGATAGGTAGATAAATACTTTGTTTCTAAAACTTGACCACTATGTTTTATTGATCATAAGTTTTTTTATCTCTCACTTCTAGGTATGAATGGGGATTTTAAGATTCCTAGGTTTTCATAAAGCGAGGGGCCCGCTTTCAGAGGTGGAGGAAATGTGTCAAGAATGGATAAAAACTATAATTTTATTGAGAATATTTGAAATTCTCATTTCATTCAAGAATAGTACAATAACCTAGTCTAGATCATATTCTTAGAATTATTTAGCTTACAGGATATCAGTAGAGAATTACGATATTCAGAGGAAATTATAGTTCGGATTTCAATTTTATTATTATTCAAGTAAAGTCGCTGACGGGCAGAAACTGCTGGTTTTGGATTTTTCCTAATCAAGGTGAATACACTAGTTTTTATGCTGAATCGATTACCACTACCAAAACCAAGATGAAAAAGTACTAAAGAAAAAACCGGCAGTTGTGGTTCGGACAGTGGACCGTAAAGTCTTTTCAAATATTCTAATAGAAAGTAAATCTCAAACTTTGCATCATGTCTAAACTTCGTGAGTGGCAGTTCCAATCCTCCAACGAAAAGCGAGCCCTTCTGTAAGTACCTTTTTTGAGTATAACTATTTTTAGTTTTCCTGTTTTGTTTCGATTTGAGTGGATGTATCTTGCTGGATAATTAATGTTCAATTTATTTCATGCCCCAATTGTTTTTATTCAAAATGAATAAACTTGTGAAGTGGAGTTTGATTATTTAGTTATCATTTTCGAAAAAAAAACCTCTTGCAAGCGAGTAAGTTCGAGTTGCGATAGTGGGCGTTAGAGCCACTCGTGACAATACTTCGACCACATCAGTCCGCATACCGTATCTCAGTATTCTATCATCTCACATGGATACCTCTGGAGCATATGAGTTCGCAACTATTATGTAAGACGACTTCGAAACAGGTATAACGCATACAACAGGCAGAACAAGGAACTTCGACCCCGACTATGCTGACACTGTAACTCCGTATTCTAGCATCTGACATGCCTACAGCTATAGCAGATACGATCGCACTGACCATATAAGACGACTTCGTAGGACATATAACGAGAACAACTGACAAGTGGATATACTTCGACATCCATCTGCACACTGTATCTCTGTATTGTAACATTTCACATGAATACCTTCGTAGCATGGTAGTTCGCAACGATCATATGAGACGACATCAAAACGGGTATAACGCACACAACAGGCACAACAAGAAACTCCGACTTCGACTATATTCACACTGTAACTTTGCATTCTAGCATCTGACATGCCTACAGTTATAGCAGATACGATGACACTGACCATATAGGACGACTTCAGAGGACATATAACGAGAACAATAGGCAAGTGAAGATACTTCTCCAACATCATTCCGCACACTGTATCTCTGTATTCGCAACTATTATATAAGACGACATCGAAGCGGGTATAACGCACACAATAGGCAGAACAAGAAACTCTGACTTCGACTATGTCTACACTGTAACTTCGCATTCTAGCATCTGACATGCCTACAGTTATAGCAGATGCGATCGCACTGACCATATTAGACGACTTTGAAGGACTTATAACGAGAACAATAGGCAAATGAAGATACTTCGACAACATCAGTCCGCACACTGTATCTTTGTATCATATCATCACACATGGATACCTTTGTAGCATATGAGTTCGCAACTATTATATAAGACGACATCGAAGCGGGTATAACGCACACAATAGGCAGAACAAGAAACTTTGACTTTGACTATGTCTACACTGTAACTCCGCATTCAAGCATCTGACATGCCTACAGTTATAGCAGATGCGATCGCACTGACCATCTGAGACGACTTTGAAGGACTTATAACGAGAACAGTATGCAAATAAAGATACTTCGACAACATCAGTCCGCACACTGTAGCTCTGTATTCTATCATCTCACATGGATATCTTTGGAGCATATCAGTTCGCAACGATCATTTGAGACGACATCGAAACGGAAATAACGCATAAAACAGGAAAAACAAGAAACTTCGATTATGTTTACACTGTGGCTCTGAATTCTAGCATCTGACATGCCTACAGTTGAAACCTATACGATCGCATTGACCATATAGAAAGACTCCGAAGGACCTATAACAAGATCAATAGGCAAGTGAGGATACTTTGACAACATCAGTCTGCACACTGTATCTCTGTATTTAATCATCTAACATAGATACCTCTGGAGCATATAAGTTCGCATCGATCATATGAGTCGACATCAAAACTGGTATAACGCACACAACAGGCAGAACAAGAAACTCCGACTTCGAATATATTTACACTGTACCTTTGCATTCGAGCATCTGACATGTCTACAGTTAAAGCAGATACGATCGCACTGACCATATAGGACGACTTCAGAGGACATATAACGAGAATAATTGACAACATCAGTCTGCACACTGTATCTCTGTATTTTATCATCTCACAAAGATACCTCTGAAGCATATTAGTTCGTAAGCGTTATTTTGATTCAGGAAACACTCGACAATGTCTACCTATAAGATGTATAACCGACTTATTGTCAAGATTGATATATGCCGGTTTACCGACTCTTGATTGTTGGAATCGAAGTTTCTGGTGGATATGAAAAAGTATAGTACTTCACTCACATATAATGAGCTTTCATGAATACTTCTTGAATAGGCATTCAAGAAGCTAGAATGCAAAGTTACAAAGTAAACATAGTCGAAGTCAAAGTTTCTTGTTCTGCCTGTTGTGTACGTTATATCCGCTTCGATTTCGTCTCATATGATCGTTGCGAACTTATATGCTCCAGACGTATCTATGTGAGATGATAAAATACAGAGATACATTGTGCAGACTGATGTTGTCAAAGTATCTTTACTTGCCTATTGTTCTCGTTATATGTCCTCTGAAGTCGTCCTATATGGTCAGTGCGATCGTATATGCTATAACTGTAGGCATGTCAGATGCTAGAATGCAAAGTTACAGTGTGAAT